GAATCCTAATAGCAGCAGCCTCCAAGCAGCACTTAGACAGTTTTTTATGTGCCAAGCTCTACTTTAAGTGCTTTACATATAATAACTCATAATTCTCACAGCAACCCTTAACTACGATTACTATCCCTGTTACATAGATTGAGAAAACTAAGACACAGAGAAGTTAACTTAGTCAAGGTTATACAGCTAGTAAACAGCAAAGTCAGGATTTGAATCTAAGTGGTCCATGCTCTTAACTGTTATGCTAAGCTGCCTTGTATACATTTAACACAGGCTTTTAAATAATACTCATTTTTTAAAAAGTTACACTCAATAGAGCTCCTATTGTTAAATATAATCCTCTCTTTGGTAATATTAAAATCCTTTTAAAGTCCCAAAGTCCATAATGTAGGTAAGAATACTAAAATCCGGTTAACTGGGGAGTTCACAATCCATGCACTTAAAACTCATTTCTAGCACATAAAACTTATTTCTAGAACTTAAAAGATTCTACATAACAACTCCATACCGCAGGCAATGCCTCAGAATCAGAGAATCTGAGAAGAGACCTTAGATATCATTAGATTTCATGAACTCCAACTATCCTTTATCCAACCAAGTCCTATAATTTATTAACCTTACTACTTACTACCTTTCACTATTCCTCACCCTCCACTCATGTCCCCATTGCCCTGCTAACCCAACTTACATTCCACGATCTACCACTATAATCACTCACTCCCTTGTAAACATTCCTGATTCCTTTGCCCCAACCTAACTTCATCATACTTGCCTGGCTAAACCATAACTCTGCTTAAATTCCACTCTCTACATACTCCATGTCAGCACATGCAGCTGAATACAGGCAATGCTAACTAGTTCATTTTAAATTCATGGTCACTAACCTCAAGTGGGCATTTAATGATGCATGACCATCGTAACACATTTCTTTAGTCCATTCACTGACACTCTCCTAAATAACTATTTCATACCTTTCTTCTCCTTAAATCACCTACTACTTTCCCCTTATTCCTAATCTCATTTGATGACCTTGTTTCCTATTTCACTAAGGAAACAGAAGCAAGCAGAAGAGAACTACCACAAACTCCCACCATTGCATCTACGCAGCAACTGTGCCCATTTACTCCACCATCTGTTACTAAGGAAGAATTGTCTGTACTCACAGCTGATGTTAAGCCACCAATTATAAATTATATCCCGTCCTCTCTTGCCTACAGCAATTCCTTCACTCTCCTTCCTGCATCACCAATCTTCCTTATCTATTAGATCATGTCCATCTACATAAAAACATGTTATTTCTCTATTCTTTAAGAAGAAAATCATTCTCTTTGCCCTCTGGCAACCACACTGTTTCTCTCCTCTTTACGTCAAACCACCTTGAAAGAGTTTGTACTTGCTATCCTCCTTCCACTCTTCCAATTCTCTCTAGATCTCACTCCAACAAGGCTTTTGAACTCCTATCATTAAACTGTTCTTATCAAGGTCACCAATAACCTCCACATTGCTAAATCCAATGATTAATTCTCAGTTCCCATCTTATTTGAGCTATCAGCAGCTCAAATAGTTGACCGCTTTCTTACTTGCACACTCAATAACCTCCTAACAGGTATCCCTGTTTCTGCTCATGCCCTCCTACTGCCTATTCTCCATCTGGTAGCCAGAATGGGCCTGTTAAACCTGTTATATCATGTTACTCTTTGACTCAGAACCTATGGTGGTTTCTCATCTCAGAATAAAAACCGAAATTTTACCAACGACCTATAAGATTCTAAATAATATGCACTCCTCCCACTTATACCTCCCATCATCTGACTGACCTCATTGGTTACTATTCTATTCTAGTCCTTCTGTTACTCTGCTCAGATTACATATAATGCATTGTCCACATTCTATCCAACCACAGTGGTTTCCTTGCTATTGTCTGAATATTCCAGGTGCATTCCTCCCTCAGGGGATTTATACTTACAGTTCTCTCTGTCTGGAATGCTCTTCCCCTAGATATTTTGAGTTTACTCACTTACTTCTTTCCAATCTTTCCTGCCACCCTATCTAAAATTGCAAACTTTGACTGCCACTACTTCTTATCCATCTTCTCCTCTGCTTTATTTTTCTCTTTAGCACCATCTAACACACTATATATGTTATTCATTTATGTTGGCTAGTTCTGTCTCTCCCACCAGAAGGTAAAGTCCCCGAGGATTAGGGGTTTTTGTTTGTTTTGTTCACTGCTTTATTCCCAGCATTTAGAACAATGGCTAGCACTTAGTAGCCTAGCAGGTGCTCAATAAATATTTGTTGAATGAATGAATGAATGAATTACATGTAGAAAAAGTGATAGAAATTAAAAGGCACCGATGTATAAATCAATCTGGAAGGGAGTTACATTCTTGGGAAATAAGTATGTCGGAGAAAAGCAAGAGCAACTATATGATCTATAACACTTTTCTACCTACCATCTCCCCACTCCCACTCTCCATCAATTTTCTGATTTTTCAAGGCAGGGACTCTAGTCCCTAAAAGCAATACACAAAGCACATTTCCCCAACTTTGAATGATAAATTAATAACCACAGTTTGTATTTATTCAGAAAAGATGAAGGGTTTTTAGTCTGCCATTTTGTTATTTTTTCATTTAAATATTCTGAATATTTACAAAGAATTACATAATTCAATGTTAGTGTCCTATGGTATCTATACACAAGCGGTAGTATACAAACTGCCTCCCACATACTCCTGGACACATTCCCTTTAAATATTAACATCAGAGAGTATGTAACATCTGATTTAACAACTGGTTTACATGACAAGCATAAACCTATGGAGATTATAAAAAGGTTTACCTCTCAGGGAATTGCAGTGATCAATGAACGGTT